AAGGGAAATTAAAGGCAGCAATTGAGAGGTACTTGAATGCCTAACATGTTGCGCTGTGTCTCTGGGAGCTTTCAGACTTCCACAGAGCCAGGAGACAGATGACTTTGAAGGTAAGCACGGATCCATCCCCTTCTAGCAACACTAAATCACTTTGTCCCATCAGTTTGATGATACCACGTGGTTGGGCCATAATGTGTACCATATGGCAACTCTGGGCATGCAAGCTGTATTTTTAAAAACGCGGCACAATTTCATTATATCTTCTTTACATTGCATACGGGTGTATTCACCTATTTGAAAGTTAATGTAAAACTTGAGTGAGACATTTGCATCATCATGATTTATATTCTTTATCACTTAAGTGTCAGGGAAAAGACATAATCCTTTGCAAGAGGATTCAGGTAGATGGGAGCCGTGCAATCTCGGACTTTGTATGCTAGTGTTAGCAATTTGAATTTGATGCATGCTGCTACCAGTAGCCAGTGGAGCTCAATGAACAGAGGGGTGACGTGTGCTCTTTTTGGCTGATTGAAGACCAGACGCGCCGCTGCGTTCTGGACCATTTGAAGAGGTCTCACAGTGCAGCCTGGAAGACCAGTTAGAAGGGCATTGCAGGAATCGAGGCGAGAGATGACAGTAGATTGCACCAGGAGCTGGGTGGCATGTTGTGTTAGGTATGGTCTGATCTTTTGTATGTTATACAGCGCAAAGCGGCATGAACGAGCAACAGAGGCAACATGATTTTTAAAGGTCAAGCAGGAGTGTGAATTGGGAGTCCAGCACTCTCTTCTTTGAGTGCTTACCCAAAGGTCAAGCCTCTCTGGATCACCTAGAGGAAAACTTCATACAAAGAACTACTAAGCATATTGGTTTGAAATACTTAATACTATAATAAGTAATTTCCATTTTGTTAAACAGCATTAGTTCCGATGAGAACAGGGCACCCGGTCGCGGCTCTTTGTGGACAAATTAGTTATTTAGTCGCTCCTCACCACCACTATTTTACAAATATGCAAAAAATTAAAAAAACGAGCAAGTTTATCTGATGGCATACAGACTTCTGGAGACTAACATCAAGCACTATCAACCAACTCACCGAGCTGCAGTATTTCTGTAGTCAGGTCTCTCTCTGAGTTCAAGAGCTCTACAAGCGGTCAGCCCGCGCAGCAGACAAGCGCCGAAATGGTCAGAGATGTGCCGGGCTGACCGCTGGGGAGAACCGGGTGGAAGAATGGAACACAGAAGTCTCCCTCCGAGAGCTCCACCAACATGTCATATTTCAACCCATTTTTTTGTTAAATGCACTGGGTTTTACACCCATCGACATATACCCTATTAATTATTTTACCGTATTACATCTAAATTTCATGGTTAAACAGTACATGTTAAAATGGTAGTTAGCTAGCTACTTTGTTAAGCTCAGCTAGTGCAAAAGCGGCAGTGACCTAAAATACATAAATATAATTTTACTTACTGAAAAAAAAAATGAAGTGGAGACTCCTTGGATGCTCTATTAGTGCAATTAATGCCACAGCAAGTCATTTTTTCCAACATTTGCACAAATAATATCCAAAAAAGAAAACACAAATGCTACAATTACTGGTCTAAGTTCAGAGACTAAAAATCGCAGAACAGTTTTCAAGCGAGACCAAGGCTCAAACTGAGCTACTGAGGCCTTTCCACGGAGCTAGCTCTGTGGTCACATGGGTCTGATGCTGCGGTCACGTGGGTCTGATGCTCATTAATTATACAGACTTTTAGGCATTTAATACACTTAAACTGAAGGGTGACAAAAACAAATTCACCCCCCTCAGAGTTGTCATGAGTATAAACTCACAGCAAAATCGTCAGTGTAAATTTAACTCGGATAGTGTTATTTTTAACACTATTGCAGTGTTTATATAATCCTCACCAGTCCAGTGTTAAAATTACACTTTCAATAGTGTTATAAAATAACACCATCAATGGTGTTGTTTTATGACACTTTGGAGTGTTGTTTTATGACACTTTGGAGTGTTGTTTTATGACACTTTGGAGTGTTGTTTTATGACACTTTGGAGTGTTGTTTTATGACACTTTGGAGTGTTGTTTTATGACACTTTGGAGTGTTGTTTTATGACACTTTGGAGTGTTGTTTTATGACACTTTGGAGTGTTGTTTTATGACACTTTGGAGTGTTGTTTTATGACACTTTGGAGTGTCACTTTTAAGTGTATTTAACACTAATCAGCACTAATATTTGATTAAATTTTTAACAAGTGTTTTTAACATGTTCTAATTATCAATTTGTTATGATATTGTGAAATTCACAGCAAACACCAGTTTGGTTGTAGTTAAGTGTTTGCAATAGTGAAAACACTCCCATAATCAAAATTTACAAAATTTCACATTTCACATGAGGCAACAGAATAATGTGAAAGATAAATGCCATTCATCTCTATTAAGCCTGAACGTAATTGCCTTTGAGGCTCAAGAAATACAACGATACATAAACAAATTAAATAAAAATCCTTTAATTCCAAAGGTCTTCCAAGCACCAAAACAAACTGGCCACCAATCAGCTGCTTTAATACAACTAAAAATAAAATAGAGGCACAACATACTGACCAACACCACTATGTGCACATTGCAAGTCAAACGGTTTGTAACTGATGAGATTGTCTGCTTTCACAACATCCTTTTCTTCAATCTTAAACACTTTGTAGGCATGAAAATGCTCACTGAAGTTATCGACCACAAGCTTGTCCACAAGGAAGTACGTGGTACTGTCAGCTAAAATGATCCTTCTTATCTGACTAAATACAGGCATTTCATTTTTAACATCACAGCAAATGATTAGTCCTTGTCTGTACTCTGTTCCACTTATTTTGATCCAGGTAGAAGAAAATAAGTCTTTTGGTGCTGCATGCAGCGCTTTTGCAAAGATCTCTGTATTGTCCTCAGTGTCCACATTAAATGATTTCAAGGGTCCATGTTCGATGCGATTTAAAGGTGACGTCTCCCAGTGGTATCCTATGGAGATCTGGTGTTTTTTTGCAAGGGACTTTGTGACATTTTTAAAGTTCTTAACAGTGTTTTTGAAAACCTTATGTTTAGCTTCAAACCTCATGCTCCACATATGTATTAGAGGCCCAATTTTTCTTATGCAAGCAGGATAATGGATCATAAAGTGATGTTTTGGGATGAGATTCTTATTTGGATACAACTGTTTGAACAAGACATGGTGTTCTATTATCAAATGCTTTAGGTGTACTGTCATGCCAAATGTAAGAGACGGAGAAAATATTATGTTAATGATCTGTAACAAAAGCAACAGCAAAGTCCAGTTTGGGTTTCCCTCAGGCAAAAGATCACCTAAAATGAGAGGAAGGTTTCTTATAAGGCAAAGAGTCTGAGTGGAATTGAGCCCTATGCTGTTGCCACTGCTTTCCAGGTTTATCCTTGTAGGGCGATTTTTGCGCTCCAAATACCCGTAATCAAAAGCATAAACTCTTGAAAGGAGATCGCTTTTTGACAAAACATTTTCACAAAGATGCTCCAACAGTAACTTTATCTCATACTGTGCCACCCCTTCAAGAATGTCGTGCATTATGTCCAAAGAGAAATTGTGGCAAACATGAAAGAACTGTAGGCCATTTAACGTTGAATTGCGCTTTAAGCCAAACACTGACAACTTCTGTGGGTCTGACTGCAACTCATTGCAATGCATTTCAAACAAATCCTTTCCACGCAGGATTATCTTAGGGTCATCTTCGTCAAAAACAGTCTGGGTATCATCTTTCTCAATCAAGCACAAACGGCAGAAATGTCGTGCACTGAAAGACTCAATAAAACCCAAAATTGAGTGCATTGCCAAGTTATCTCCAGTTATCTGACATATAGTGCCATGAACTTTTTCAGTTGAGAATGGTAAAGCGATGCCAGAATGCTCCAGTGTTTTGATGTCACTTATTAGAGGTTGTAGAATTGGATCAAATCCATATTTTTTCACATCTTCAGTGTGAAACAGTGCTACCAGATGAATGTTCATAAGAGCAGAGTTGAACTTAGGTGGCAAGTTTCTAAGGACAAAATAAAGAGCACCGACTTTATGGACAGTGCGTTTTGAACCCAATGGGTTTGCAGTTTCAAAGTCGTCATAGTACAACTGAATTTGCAAGGAACTCTGACCTTTGGAGAACAAGGGATGTGTCTTACAATAACTTCCATCACAGAAGTCTTCAAATGTGTTTGTTTTTGATATATGTGCTTCACTAAGCAATTTACAAATTTCTGCATTACGACACATAAATTTAATGGTTTCTAAAATTGGAATGTAAACAAATGTTTCTTTTACTGGAACTTGATCATAGGTGCCTGTTGATTTATTTCTCCTTGTATCGAATCGAACTCCCAACATTATTTCAACAGGCTCCACAATGCCCCATTTCTCTCTGAAATATGCCATTCTTTTAGTTTCGGAATTAAAGCTAACAAAGGGGTTTTCATAATTGTCCAAGCTTTCATTTAATGTAGACCTCACAGGGTCATCCTTGGAGAAATGAGCCAAAATGTCATTTTTTACCTGAGCGTGTAGACCAGTAGCAAGATCTTCCAAATCACTAACAACTGATGAAACAGCACTATTTGTCATACCACTTCCTTGCAGTTTACCAATTATTGAAGCACAAATATGTTTCACATTTGCAATAAGATCAGTTCCTTTCTCCTCAAAGCCATTATTTTCTGGGCTCTGCGTGGTATTTGTTTCGCTTTCTTTAGTGTCACCATCTGAACAGTTAACAGGATTTTCTTCATCAAGACTTTGCGAAAGATCCTTTTCATGAACAGCTAAATGTTTTTTGAAACCTGAATATGTAGAAAACTGTCGCCTACAACGATCTTGTGCACAAACCAACTTAAACCTGGTGCTTGGATAGAAACTATGGTCAAGTCTTAAATGAGTTATTAGTAACTGGCAAGCAGCATGAACAGCTTGACAGATGAAACACCTGAACATTTTTTAAACCTAGTTAAAGAATTTTGCTCGAAGCTCACAAACTCTTGGAGATCCACTTGTTGTTGTAGCATCGATGTTGTAGATCGTTGTTTGCACAAAGGTGAAGAGCTGGACCAGGGACTCATCATAGGACAGGTTGAAAACGTAGTGACATTTGAACAGTTCATCAAAAGCACCCAATGAGCTGGTGGCTTGGCAGGGGATGAGGTGCTTGTCCACAACAATGTAGAATGCACCAGTTTTGTTTGGTGTGCGACCAACTGCAAGAATGTATGGCTGCTTCCCCTCTCGTCTCTGCAGGTGTTCATCAATGCTGCAGTTTGACTGAGAAACAAAAACACATACAAATGAAATAGACATTTTTATAATCGTATTTATTGCTGAAACACTCCAGTATGGTCATCCAGCAACCAACAAATGTATAAAATTTTCCACAAATAGATGGTGAGAAACTAATTAAATGTTTTGCTTTTATGTGAAGGGAATAAACCTATGAAACTGGAAAGAACACTTAATAATCATCAAACTTATATAGCGCTTGTTTAGGACACTCAAAGATGCTTTCATGCACTCTCACATTCACACACTGCCAGTGATGGTAAGCTACTTTGTAGTCACAGCCACCCTGGGGAGGTCTAACAGAGGCGAGGCTGTCATTTGGCGCCGTCAGCCCCTCTGACCACCACCAACACAGGCAAGTTGGGTGAAGTGTCTTGGCCAAGGACACAACAGCAGAATACACCTGGCGGGGGCTGGAATCGAGCCCATGATCCTCCATTTATGAGGCAACCAGCATTACCACCTGAGCTACTGCTGCACCAGTAAAAAAGCAGTTGAGAAATGAGCAACTTCAATTTTTTAAGTGCTTCCTGCATGCTATACAGCAAACTGCATATGGTGTGTACATATGGCAATAAGAAAACTATAAAAAGTACTTTTGTAATGACAACTTGCATATAGGAAATAATCCATGCATCATTCGTTCTATTCCATCTATCCATTTTTAATCACTTATCCAGGGTCGGGTCGCGGGGGCAGCAGCCTAAGCTGAGAGGACCAGACTTCCCTCTTCACAGCCACTTGGGCTCCTCTTGAGAAATCCCAAGGCGTTCCCTGCATTCATTTCAGCCGCTTGGGTAGTGACCAAAAGAAAGATTGCGGATACAAACGGCCAAAATTAGTTTTCTCCACAGGGAGTCTGGGTTCTCCCTTCGAGATAGGGTGGGAACCTCAGTCATCCGGGAGGGGCTCGGAGTCGACTCGCAGCTCCTCTGCGTTGAGAGGAGCCAGAGAAGCTACTGTTCCCGTGACCCAACCCCGGACAAGCAGCTGAAAATGTATGGATGGATAACCAAATAAACAAAATTTGCCTTTTTTAAACTTTAAATAGAAAATGAAAAGAACGAATGATACACGGATAGGAAATAATAGTCTGTTGCTAATGGGTTACCCTAGTTTATTAGACTGTAATAGAAGAGGCGTATTCACCTTGTGAAAGTGCACCATTTTGTCCACCGCATCACAGGGGCTAATTTTTGTCCTCTTTCGACCAGCAGTGGGTGGCAACAAATGAAGAAGGAGCAGCAGAGAAGCCATATCACTGTCCCAGTCTTTTGGCAGGGAAAAAGAAGGCATATTAAAATTCACAAATAAAAAAGCTTGAGCTTGCTGGACTACAATAAAAGAGTGTGAGTAGCCTTACTGGAGTCATCATCTGTTGAAAGGTTCTCAGCAGCTTTCAGAAGTTGGCGAACCTCCGCTGATTGAGTCAGATTTCGGGCCTCATCAATAACCTTGGGTTTAAATGTCGTGTCCCATTTCTCAAGCATTTTAGAAGAGGTTTCAGCTCCAAGCAACAGTTGGAAGTCTTGGTTTACCTATTAATCATTAACGCATGAAAATGCTTTAATTAAATAAGCACCATTGTCAAAATCTGACCAGCTAAGACTGCAGTCAATTGCAGTCGTATTAAAAATACCACTTACTAGTCCTTTAACGTCTAAAAAACGTGGGAATGTTTTGAAGACATCTGCACTTGTCTGTGGATCATGCACAAGGTCCTGTCGATGTTGAAAGGTCATCTTCATCTTTTGAAAGACAACTGTCTCATCGTTACAGTGAAGAAGAAATGAAACTGCCTCCCTGCAGGCATCTCCATCAAGCTGTTGAGGCACTGTGGTTGCTGTTCTTTTACGGTTTGGTCCTTGCACATGAGGTGAGGTGGCTACCTTCTCTGGCCTCTTATATCTACTCCTGGACATGGTTTTGAGGCGCCACGCTAAATATCCTGTGCCTTTTTCCCCATCATAGAAGTGCTCCTGTCAATGAAATTAAAAAAAAATATTAGAAAATAATGTTCACTCACATATCTCAGAAGAGCAACTTAAATTTTACACAAATTTAATTTTCAAATATGGGGTACAACACACACACACACACACACAATTTTTTAGACCTTTTTTCTAACTGGTGAATTATATTATGTCAAAAACTTAGGAATGCACTTAGTTAACCGCTTAATTGCCGTTAATGTTGTAACCGGGTAAAATAGTTTTTCCCGGTCAACAGTTTCATATCCTGCTGCTGCGTTTCCGTATAATATATTATGTGCCACTAGAGGGCGCAATAGTAACACTATTATAATGTTTCCCGGGCAACCACAGAAGAAATTAGCTTGTCAAACACTGAGCAATTAGCACTGTGGAAGCAGTTTATTCTTTGTTATTTCATTCCTGGAACACAATAGGCCTCCCAACAAAGTGCTGAGCCTGGCAGAACATGTTAGTGTAATTATTTAGTTTAATGTAAGGAAAGGAAGTATTTTTTTTAAACCGTGGTCTCCAGAATGCGCTTATGAGCATGCAATTGCCAGCAGCGATGTGTATTTGATGCCAGACGGTTCACTGCACAACTAGTTCTGAGTCTGAAGGACATTCCAGCTGTCATCTCACTCTTTTCTTTTTGTTCATAAATGTAATGAGCGTTGTTGGTTGGTTCCGGTTAACCGGCTATTAATCGTTAAGGGGCATCATTAGCCGGTTAAAGAAATTTTCAAAATGTGCATCCCTACAAACATTGAACAGTTAGTCTGAGTAGATTTTTCTTCAGGTATACCGTATTTTCCGGACTATAAGTTGCACTTTTTTTTTCCATAGTCTGGTATATAAGTCACAGGACCAGCCAAAGTGACTTATATACCAAATTATGTAGGCTATACCGCGCTGCTGCAGGTCGGCTCCAACCCAGGAATGAACTCCCCTGTCCCGCTAGGAGGGTTTCAAACACTGCCAAACTCTGCTGGAGATCGTGGCACGCTGCTGAGTACCGCTGATGCAACAGCTTGTTTTTTATTCTGTTGTTACCAGTACTTGTCTTGCAATGTGAAATGCTTGGTCTCAGATTTTGTAAGAAAAATAAAATTTCACCCCAAAATGCAACTTATTCCAGTGCGACTTTTATGTTTTTTCTTTCTTCATTATACATTTTATGGCTGGTGAGACTTATACTCCGGAGCGACTTGTACTCCAGAAAATACGGTATATATATATATTTATTTATTTTTTTTTTACTTACGTAGCCTTTTGGAGAAAAAGGATCCTTCAGTGAAGGAAAAAGCGTAATGATTCCCAGGGCATACTTCTCTTTCTGCTTACGTGAAGGAATCCTCCTTACAACAAAGAAAACGAATACAAACAAAAATTAGTAAGTTATAACAAGGTTTTATAAAACCGTAATTCAGTACATCTTGAAAACCAAACATTCCTTTTGCTAGATTGATCCTTTTAATCTGAATCAGTCCAGTTTCTTACCCGTGCATCTCAGTCATATGACTAGCCAGTATGTTAACAAGTTGCCTGCGCGTGCGATGCTGCAGGGATTTCTCGGACTTGTACTCTTCCAAGACATCCTCACCTCCAGGTTTTACATGCAATGCATTCTCTACCATCTACAACAAGTTGTCAATTAACAGAGACAGGTTATGTCTTGCGAAATAAAACAAAAAGTATAAACCATCATTTTTCAGTTCTTACTAATAATGCATGGTATAAACTGTACAAGATGTAACCGGTATGATTTTGGCCTACGATAAAGATTTACTATCGGCTAACTGGCGCTTGCTGATGACGTCATTGAGGAGTGCGACAGTTCAGCTCTTTAAGTAACAAGGCTGAGCGTAAACTTGTCCCGCTTTTACATGAATGTTGTCAATCTGCGTCAGCTCTGGACGAAACACAGAGAGCAGAGAGCGTGAAGATGTGATTGTAAAGAGCATGAGGTTACATTGGTTACACAGACCTTGTTTTGTAGTCTGATGCTGAGCAGAAAAACATCCTCAGAACAATATGATACATTATTGAATCATTATCGTTATTTGCATTTTTCACTTTAGTTCAGACAATTTAGAATCTAGTCTGTCACATTTAGCTTGTTTTTAAAATATCTTCATCTTTATTCATGTTATAATTTTGTTGCATTGTTAGGAAAAATAACCTTAACATTAAAACTGAGATGTTGTATTTAGTTAAGTTTAGAAAATTAAATGCAATTTATAATAAATAATATATATTGAAATTTATTGTATACTTTAGAATTATTTGTTATGCAATTTAACTGGGCATGTCAGATTGTTCAAAAACAGTGATTTTTACATTTATAAACAGAAGAGAAGAATAAATCGAGATATATATCATTACAACATGTGCTTCAAAATTTAGCGCAATATCAGTTTTAGGTCATTTTGCCCTTTCCTAGTTCATACTAAAACAGACAGAGCTACTTCCCTGCCAGCCAGTAAAAATAAAAAATAAATACCTGCAGCAGCTATTCATTCAGATTATTTTATCATACAATTTACAATTTTTTATGAAACCATATTTATACTGTAGCAATCTGAATTATGCCAATTACAGTAGAATTTTTTAAAAATGAATCTGAAGTACCTCTTTTGCAGCCTCAGACTCTGAAACTTCTGTGGTAGACTTGTTCTTGACCCCAGAGCTCAATCTACTTCCAGTAACAGGGATCCCCAAATCTCTGTGAAGATCACTGTCACTAGACGATAGTGACACGGTATCCGTGAGGGAGGATGAGGTTGAATGAGCTATAAGAAAAAAAATTATAATTTCAAACATGAAGAAAAAAATAACTTGCCAACCTGGTGGAGGAGTGCAGTTCTGAGGTAATTCTGCCATAAGTATATGTGTTTAATAAAATCAGCTAAGTATGAAATATGTTGGTTTCATTCCATTTGTTTATTTTATACTAACATTTCATATTCAATTAAAGAGATTAAGCTATAATTTTTCATGAAGGTAGACAGAGTAAAGTGTGATTAGGGTGTATGGGCTGTTGAGTGCATGTGTAACATAGCTTTTATTCTTGTATGTTTGCACCATGTGTTATCCGCATATTATGTGTAAAGTCCTTATCTGTTTAATTATGTAGACCAATTTGCATTATCTTTTCAATAAAATAGATTTCTTAACAAAATTCAATTTGGCTGGATTTTATGCAACTGCAAACAACCACAATTTTAAATGTTTGCCTTTTGGATACTGTTGCTGATCGTTCGAATAGCCAGCTTGTTACAGCCAAAAGGTATTATAAAAATCTGCACCTGAAGATCCATGAGCATTCATTAAAATAAGATTTAACAATGAAATGAAACTTACCATCACCTGCTGAGCTGTCACTTACAGTCAGGCATATGTCAGGATTGGCCTCTATCAGTTCAAGAAAGATGTCTTCCTCCACTGCTGTATCAGTCTCATCAAAAATGTGCAGTTCTGTGACATCAGGAAGCCCAAACTTGTTTTTGACTAAAAGAAGATGATAACATATGAGGTAAATATGTCTGAAGCAAAATTTAGTCTGAAAGAAAGAAGAACTGTATTTCTAAAGCTACTCTAAAATTCCACATTGCTTTCACTTAAAAATGAAGTTTAGTGATGTGACACTTCAGTCACTAACTTATGTGCATACAAAACAAATTTCAGTTATTTACATTTGCTAACTTAACACTGCAAGTAAACATTTACATGTGATGTGAAAATCTACAAATTCTGCCTTTGTCGAAGACCAAATAAAATTACTAAGAAAAAGGTACAATAAGTATAAGTAGTTTAACATAACAAAAGATTTAGCTTGTTCAGATTGTTGTGAAGGTACACAAGACAGCTACCCACCTTCACTGATGAACTCCAAATATGTGAACCCTGGCTGTAACCGTATGTACTTCTTGGAACTTTGGTGTTTCACCTTCAGCAACATGATGATTTCTTAGGAAAAAATGTCAAAAGGAGAAAAGTAGTTAGTGTTTGATATAATAAAATAGATCTATTTTAAACAAAACATAACTCAAAGCTGGCATAAAAATGAAAAATTCTCAAGTTTTAGTCTCTATATTTATTCTTGTTGCTTATTCTAAAATTTACATATTTCAAACAAACAAGTGTTTTAAATCAGTAGAAATCTAAACAATATTTAAAGAAAAAACTTAAAACAAGACATTATTCATGCTTAGAAAGAACAGAAATGGAAAATCTTTATATTCTCCGTTTATCCAATGTGCACGGATTGACTCGTTAAATCCGCTTGTGTGTGTTTGGTAGTGACTTTCTCTACTGTTTAAGCACAAAGAAGAACAATTACATGCATGGTGCTTAAAGAAAATAGATGAGCTCGCTCTTATCTGGAATTATAAAGTTCTAAATCCCGCTGAGTCATTCGGCTGCGGGTGTTTCTGCTTCAGAAGCAGTTTGTAGTTTACCTCGGTAGTTTACACGAGGAAAGCAGAACTACGTCCACACCCGACTGAACTGTTCTGTCCCTTATATTTTAACAATGTCAATCGCTGTGTCCTCCATCTTTTTCCCATTCGGAGAGCTATTTTTACCAGTCATGTAACCTGCAGCAGTGGGCTAAAGCTTCACAAACATTTGCCGTTAGCAGCGCGTCTGCCTGCTGCCGAGTGGCTGTTCTTTCCATTGAGATTCTAGCGACCCGTTCTCAAACGTCTATCAAGAGAAAGTGTTGTTTGTCTGTGTATGACCATTTTATGTTAGCATGATGCGAATTAGCTCCCCAAACCGGACAGGCGCCTAAAATTAAGTCGGTGCAACGGGACTTCCGGGAATCTCACGATAATTTCCCGCACATTTTGTGCTGCACTAATTAACTTCAGTCCATTTTCTCAGGGTTTAGGGCCAGCCGAACTAATTTCTAAAAAATTCAAAACGGCGCTAGTCTATAGCTAATCAACTCTGAGGCTACCGAGCATCTAAGCTAGCTTTAGCTGGATACAAAATTTTACATCTTACAGTCTAAAACCGAAATTACATTAAAGTCCCATTTTATGTGCTGTTTATGGCTCTTTATTAATAAATATATGTGGTACTTACCGTTTGACGTTGAAAACTTGACACTGCATCTGCTAGCCCGCGCTGCCTGGAACTTTCTAGAGTTGCCCGCTCTCCTCTCAGACCGGATGTAGAAATGAACTCGACAGGAGAGTTGGCGCTTAACTCGCGCTGTTAGCTCCACCCCAAGAGCTATTTGGACACCGTGGGTGTTCAAACCACACCAGGATTCAACAACCATCAACTCTAAATCATTTTCACCAGAAAATTGACACTAATTAACACTGCAGATTTTGCTGTGTAAACCAAACACATGTTTTGGAACCAGGCTGTAAACATGTTTATTTCTGCTGTGAAATTGGTATTTTTAACATGGGAGTCAATGAGGATTTGCTCTCTTCTGACACCAGCCCCCAGTGGATGAGGGTGGAACTGCAATTTATTTCACTTTCGTGTTGGCCTCAATTTCAGAACTGCATTGTGGGGGCTTGCTGCAACACTACCCATACTGCAATGGCAAAACGTCTCGCTCCCTTCCACTGATTGCATCTACTGAGTTAATGAGGCAGTAGTACACACTGAGCATTGCCTCCTCCTTCTCTACAGTTTGATTTGACTTGTCTTCTTTTTACCTATCTCTTTTTACGTCTCATGAACTGTTTTTATTTTCAGCTGAAGTGGCAGCTAACCTAATTTATGATAATATTAGAGAGCTTCTTTCCAACAAACATTGTGATTACTCATTAAATCAGTAGGAGGACTGTTTACCAATTATCAGAAACCACTGTTCCAGCACAGTGATCCGAGTATGCTCTGCTTATTGTTGCAGTCTGCCAATTGATTACACTCGGGCTTTTTTTTTTCAGTGGAAAGCGTGGTCTTCTTCAAAACATTTTAGGATGCTTCATTGATTATTCTTTTTGGAAAATACGTCTGCTGGATGAGCTTAAAGTGTAGTTTTGCACACAGCACAGATTGAGTTTTTTTTTCAAGCTAGTAGTGAAGTCAAACAACATAAATGCATACAAATAAAAGCTAGGTGTTTAGGTGTGTATCTGTGAGACGTTATCAAAACTCTAGCCAGATCACAGCTGAACAAATACTGGGCTCTTCTTGTACTTCAGTGTTTAATAGCTCCCTTCATATAACAGCAATGATAAGGCCTGTGAGCTGAATCCAAAAGTTGTCTCCATTCATCTCAACTCAACTCCATCCGATTCCATTCATTACCCCACAGAGATAACCCAAGCCCAGGAAAAACGCAGAGTCAGCAACCACCACAGTCTCTGGGATGTACCAAATCAGTCTCTTTTATTCCTTCTCTCTCTCTTGCTCTCTCTCTTTCCCATACAATAATGAGTCTGTCGTATACTTTGGTAGAGAGTATCCTTTTCCTATGAAATTTAATATCTATATTTATTATTAATAGTAATAATATTAATAATAATAATACATCAAACTTATATAGCGCTTGTTAGGACACTCAAAGATGCTTTCATGCACTCGCACATTCTCACACTGCCAGTTCCAAGTTATTTAAAGATACAATTTGTCTCAAATTTTTATCTTTTTCAAATGCACTCACTATAAACTTCCTACATATGATGAAAAGGGAAATTTGCATGATAAAGGTTTAGTCCACAAATATGAAGTAAAACAGCTGAATCAATCTCATTTAGGTGTGTTTTCTGCACCTTGTTTATAAAAAATTTCGGCACCAACTCTGACAGCACAATCTCACACAATAGTGGATAAAACCAATTCTTTGCAGCTTACAACAACAAAATAAAATGAAAAACAATTGTAAAAACTCTTAGGTATGTCCAAGAAAGTTTTTCTTTCTTTTTGAAGATGTCTGATTAAAAATGACAGTTAATGTGAACATAATTTACAGTTTATTACTGGGAGTAAAAAAAACCTTGGAGGCAGAATGACTCAGGACAGTAAGGACCTAGATCAGCTTGGTTTCAAAGCACCTCATAGTCCTTGTGAGGGGGTCGATAAAAGCAAGACAGTAGTGTGGGAGTAAGATTCAACAATCACAGGATGTAAATCTGGACAACTGGGAAAAACAGAAACAATATGATTTTACAGAGATGGGGCCAAGGGTGTCAGTTTGTTTTTAAAAGTTGTAGGGATGAAATACATAAATGCGTGTGGCTTGAAAACTGTTAGGGAGAATTATCTTTATTTATGTAGAAATATTTGTTTGTTAAATGTTTAATTACAATACACACTGCAGTGTATTAACAGGTGTTCAAAATCGGAGCTTTATTCAATAAATAAAAGTTAAAAAGTCAGGCTCAAACCCACAAACCACAGATTACAAGACGAACACCTAACCAGGGGGTCGGCAACACGCGGCTCTGGAGCCGCATGCGGCTCTTCCATCCTTCTGATGCGGCTCTCTGTGCTTGTAAAATAATGAATGGATATTTAAATAAAATGCTTTATATTTTACTGCATTAATTTTACATCTGCATGCCAATTATAAATGTAAAGATTGTCTGCGTAAACCTGAACAGTTCCAACCCAGTCTTACTGTGAGACCGGGTTGACGCGTCACGCTTGTGCGTAATCATATGCGCTTTCTGAGCTGACGAGGATGTCAGATTCTGGGATTCTCCTCAGACGGCACATTGGAGACAGGAACAAGCGCTATTCAGCCAAAGTTTCATAGTCAGGGAACATTTTCTAAGTGACAAGTCTCGCTTCAGTCGGAGGAATCTTCCTGCATGCGCTCTGGTTCTGCGACACGCTCCAAGCCCCTCTCCACATCTTCAGCTCGCTGTGCACCGTACGTGCGCGCTGACGGTGAGCTGCGCTGAGCAGTGTCCAGCTCAGATGTTCAGATGGGAATCTTTTCTTGAGTGATTAAGCTACATCTGCGATGTGCGTAATGAATAAAATGTCAGTTCGTCTGCATGCGTCAGGGTAATTCTTTCTATTCTTTCTCCGTCAAAATAAACGGTCAAATACGGGAACTGTCCGGTCAACACAAGCCCTGCTTTTAACTGTTCTGTTTTCTTGTGAAAATTGTTGCAAAGAGATATAATTTAACTTGGTTAACACCAGAGCCAGGCGCACTACGCTGTTATCTCCGTCACTGTAAATGAGGGAAAAACAAATTGATCGGATCCTTTTCTGACCTTCCCCGCCTACAAAGTTTATTTACAACAATCAAACGTGACAGAGCCTGGATTTGTATTCTGAACAGTCTAAACATGTTTTAAAAAGAAACGTATGACAAAAGTGGCACCTGCTCAGTAAAACCACCAACAGGGTGAAAATATCAAAATATTGTGGGCAGAGACGGGCTACAACTTCCGGATCCACTTTATATAAATCGTTTTATTGATTATCTTCTTATGAAAGATAACTTTGACGTACACGAGCGACCGGTACCGGCTGCTGCCACCTGTTGTGATTGGTTAAAGCAGCTCTCTGCTGTCTGAGGGTAGGCCCCGCCCACAACGCCACGGCTGCTGTGGCTCCACCTGTTTTCTTTACTGTGGGAAACGGGTAATAATGGCTCTTTGATGGGAACAGGTTGCCGACCCCTGACCTAACCTCCAGTAGCATTAACAACTTGAGCTGAAAATAACCCATAAAAGAATCTGTAGTTTACCCATGTCAGGTTTCAGTTAGCTACATATTTGCTCACTAGAAATCTGGACTGACTAAGTTGCCAAAGCAAAATGATTTTGCAGTTTTAAGCGACATCATGACTGAAACAGGTTATGCAGTTGGTTAAAAAGAATCTTAATAGGGAAACATGAATGTGTGCATTCTTTATTAAAAACCTCTTGTTCAAAAATTCTGGGAACTTAATTTAAGACAGTGGTGGGGGCATGTCCCCAGCATTCCTTGGCTAAAATTATGCCTACGGATTATGCTGACACTGTCAGTCAACAAACATTTTCTGTATTAGACACACATAATAAAATTATATGTGTAGAAAAGGTTCTGTGTGCACACGAACCACTACAAGTGATAATGCTGCTGGAATTCATCATTTTATCCTTGGCAGCAGCAGTGCTGCAGGTGCTCTCCATGTCCAAAATGTGCGTAAGCCAGGTTTGAATGGAAAGTTGCTTAAGCAGTTTTCTGACCCCGTTCTGTGTGTAAGCAAGCTTTATAAATGAGGCCCCTGGTCTTTAGGGCCTTACATGGACAAGCACCATCACACATTGGTGATCTTCTTAGTCCCTACACCCCCAGCAGGTCCCTGAGGTCCAGTGACCAAAGCCTACTGGTTGCGCGGCACCAGGCTAAAGATCAAAGGTGACAGATCATTTGCTGCTGTGGCCTCCAGACTGGAACTCTCTCCCCCTGAGCCTGAGATCAGTGGACTAGGTGGTCTGTTTTAAAGGGACAATGTGTAATATGTGCATCCTGTGTATAAAAGAAATTTGAGTCTTTAACGTCATGGAGTTCAGAGTACGTATTTCAGCTATGGTAGCCCACATACACATGAAACATGCAATATGTCAACAACTTTCTGCTTTAAGTGCTTTGAGAAAATGGTTTTGGTCCCAAGCCTGCTTGTCCAAACTCTGCCTCTTGTGCCCAGCACTGATCAGATTAGTAAGAAGGTTTGGTTTAGAATTAGGGGTCACCTAGCCCATGATTCATTTTGTTACTCTCTTTAAACTGTAACCTCTTTTGGAGCCTGGATGCTGGACGGAGAGTGATGCTCAACTTGCCGCTTCACAATTCTCCACAGGCGTTCGACTGGGTTCAGATCAGGAGACATACTTGGTCATTTAATCACCTTCACCGTGTTCTTCTTCAGAAACAGTAGCTTTAGATGTGTTTTGGGTCATTGTCGTGTTGGAAACGTGCACAACGACCAAGTGCACAAAGTGATGGCTGCATCTTCTCCTTCAGTATAGAGCAGTACATTGTTGAGTTCACCAGCAGCACTCATGCAGCCCACATAAGGACACCGCCACCACCATGCTTCACTGTAGGCACCATGCATTTCTCTTTGAAATCCTCACCTTTATGACACCATACAGTTTTGAAATCATTAGTTCCAAAAACAGTGAAGTTTGTCTCATCACTTTAGAGTCCAGAGTCCCAGTAGTCTTCCTCTCTTTCAGCATGGGCCCTAGAAAATCTTAGGTGTGGTTTTTTTGTGCATGGGCTTCAGGAGAGGCTTCCTTCATGGACGATAACCATGCATGCCCTTCCTCTGCAGTGTGCGCCGTGTGGTGTCACAGGAAACAGTCACTAAAGTTTAACAGTACTGCTTTAGCTAACTGCAGTGAACTTGCATGATGATTTTCTTCAACCCTTCTCATCAGAAGACGCTCCTGTCCAGATGTTAACTTCAGTGGACGGCCTGGGCGTCTGTGTAAGATGGTTGCATTTCCATCTTTGTTACATTTTTGGATCACTTTTGCTACAGTTATTGTGACTGATATGTAAAGCTTTGCTGATATTCTTGTAGCCCTCACCTTTTATGTGGAAAGAAATGACTTCCTTTCCCCGATTTTGTGACATTTCTCTTCCACATGGAGCTGTTGCTGACAGCATTAAATGGGAAGTGCTTTTCTTTGTTAAGTAACGCCCTTTTTTAGTCACCTGTCTGCTGGACACCTCTTAGATGAATCATTAGACTCATCTGTAGTTGAACGCCTGTTCATTTGAATTTTCTAATCTTAAGTGTTGCTTTTCTCCCAAGACTATAATTGGGGTGTACTCATTTTTGCAACATGGGTTTGAATAGATTTGTTAGGAAAATCACTTTTTGTATGTGCATTTTGTAGTATGGTAACTCATTGAAAACGTTGATTTGTGACATAGTTTATTATAAATATTGACTTTTGAGATCTATTCTGGGCTGATAAATTATTCTTCACTATGGTCAAGATGGGATAAAAATTACAAAAATTAAACATATTTGATGTCAAGTAATTTTTTGGCACCAAATCAAAACTCTATAAACAGTTATCATTGAATAATTGTGCAGTATAAAAATTTAATTGGACCATGCTCATTACAGAGACCATAATGAATTTGTTCACCCACTTTTTCTCCACATGATAATTTCCTCTGTTTCTCACAGATCTGAGGAAACACATTAAATGACAGTTACAGGCAAAGCTGTCCTTCAGAATGATAAGCTGTAGATTTACTACATGCTTAACTCTGAGTCTGCAAGAGGTACCTGACAACAAGCATGTTTCATCTCCCCAGTATTCTACTCCAGTGAGTCTATCCAGTTAAGCCAGTTTGATGAGGGGATAAGCTGCAGGCTGCTCACAACAAAAAGGAGAATCCCATCCACTCTGATCTACCACGACACATTTATCTTCAGATTTACTTGTAGTCTCTCTCTCTCACGCGCACGCACGCATACACACACACACACACACACACACACACACACACACACACACACACACACACACACACACACC